GTGATTGATTATATCCATAAGATGTCAATAAAGTAATTTCTGACTAAGAACATTTTTATTTTCCTTTATGAATACATGTGTCTTTTAAATCTGTTTTTAAATTCATGTTAACACAGCTTCTAAGAGATTATTTAAATATAGACAGTGGCATTAAAAGCAGTGTAACACACTATAAACTTCATACATCCACTTTATGAATTTGCCATATAAATGACAAATTAATTAGTTTGTAAATTAATTTCCCTGCATCAAATTATTTGGGATTATAAACCTCCAGAGAAGAGAATTGTTCTAAGTAAAACCCAAGGATTAACATGGATTTAAGAATGTGTTGAATAAAAAACAATAAGTTGATAAATGTAATTTGTATACAGATCCACAATGGAAAAAAGGCTACATTTGCGATCTTATTCAGGAGGGGGGAGCGGACCTGGCAGGTATTACGGAGACCTGGTTGGGCCATGAGGGGGGGGTTCCCCTCGTGGATATGTGCCCACCAGGTTTCCGAGCATTCCATCAGCCGAGAGCTCAGGGCAGGGGTGGGGGGATGGCGGTTATTATAAAGGAAAGTCTTGATCCGAGGGAGACCACTGTTCCACAGATAGCCGGATGTGAGTCCCTTTTTGTGAGATGGGGTCGTGGAGTACAGATGGGCTTGTTGATCACGTACCTGGCTCCCTGCCGCGTGGCAACGGCCCTGCTCGAGCTGCTCAACGTCATAGCTGAGGTGGCGGTTGGTACCCCCAGACTTCTAGTCATGGGGGATTTCAACCTGCCATCTGTCGGCGAAACGTCTGAGGTGGCTCGGGAGTTCATGGCTTCCATGACGGCCATGGACCTTACTCAGTTAATTCATGACCCCACTCACATGGGTGGACACACTCTGGACTTAGTTTTTGTCTCTGGTCAGTGGTCAAGTGGCCTTGATACAGGGGATATAGTCATCGAACCCTTGTCATGGTCTGACCACTCGCTCCTTCGACTGGACTTTCTAACCGCTGCACCCCGCCGCAGGGAGGCGGGACCGACCAGGTGGTTCCGCCCCAGGCGCCTGATGGACCCTGATAGGTTCCAGATGGAGCTTGGGCCATTTCCTGAGACTCTGGCTCACGACTCAGCTGAGGACCTGGTGGCCGCCTGGGATAGTGCGGCTGCCGGGGCCTTGGACCGTGTCGTGCCTTTGCGGCCTCTGACCCGGCACCGAACTCACCTAGCTCCTTGGTTCTCCGAGGAGCTTAGGGAGATGAAGCGCCGGAAAAGACGCCTGGAGAGTAGTTGGAGGACCAGCCGCTCCGAATCCAACCGAACACTGGTGAGGTCTCATATTAAGACGTATCTAGTGGCAATAAAAGCGGCAAAATCTAGCTATTTTGCCGCTCTTATCGCGTCATCAGATAATCGCCCGCCGCCCTGTTTAGGGTGACCCGCTCCCTCCTCCATCTGGAAGCGCGGGATGACCCCTTGCAGGGCCGAGCTGAGGACTTTGTGCAGTATCTGTATGACAAAATCGCTCAGATTCGGGAAGGGCTGGCCTCTGACTGGGTATGTCCGGACGGGATGACTGAGGCAGGTCTTGAGAGTGTTATCTGGGGGGAGTTCGATCCTGTGGCTCCCGAGGACATGGACAGGGTCCTGGGACGGCTGAACGCGACCACATGTTTATTGGACCCGTGTCCCTCCTGGTTGGTACTGGCTTCCCGGGAGGTGACACGAGGCTGGCTCCAGAAGATTGTTAACGCTTCTTTGAGTGAGGGGGTCCTGCCGGCCGCTTTGAAAGAAGCGGTTGTGAGGCCCCTCCTCAAGAAGCCCTCTCTGGATCCGGCTGTTTTGGCTAACTATCATCCAGTCTCCAACCTTCGCTTCATTGCGAAGGTTGTTGAGAGTGTGGTAGCGCAACAGCTTCCCCGGTACCTGGATGAAACTGTCTATCTGGACCCGCTCCAGTCCGGCTTCCGGCCTGGGCACAGCACGGAAACGGCATTGGTCGCGTTGGTGGATGATCTCTGGAGGGCTCGGGATAGGGGTTGCTCCTCTATCCTGGTCCTGTTAGACCTCTCAGCGGCTTTTGATACCATCGACCATGGTATCATGTTGCACCGGTTAGCGGGGTTGGGGGTGGGGGGCACCGTTCTGCGGTGGTTCTCCTCCTACCTCTCTGACCGGTCGCAATCTGTGTTGATGGGGGGGCAGCGGTCGACCCCGAGGCACCTTGCTTGTGGGGTGCCACAAGGGTCGGTCCTCTTGCCCCTTCTGTTCAACATTTATGTAAAGCCGCTGGGTGAGATCATCCGTGGCTTCGGGGTGGAGTTCCATCAGTACGCTGATGACACCCAGCTGTACATCTCCACCCCAGGCCACCCCAACGATGCCCTTGAAGTGATGTCCCAGTGCCTGGAGGCCGTGCGGGCCTGGATGGGGAGAAACAGGCTCCGACTCAACCCCTCCAAGACCGAGTGGCTGTGGCTTCCAGCATCCCGATATAGCCAGCTGACACCATCGCTGGCTATTGGGGGCGAATCACTCGCCCCCACGGAGAGGGCTCGCAACTTGGGCGTCCTCCTGGATGCACGGCTGTCTCTAGAAGACCATTTGACGGCCGTGGCCAGGGGGGCTTTTTATCAGGTTCGCCTGATATGCCAGTTGCGCCCCTTTCTAGATCGGGACTCTCTACGCACAGTCACTCAGGCACTAGTCACTTCCCGCCTGGACTACTGCAACGCTCTCTACATGGGGCTCCCCCTGGGGTGCACCCGGAGGCTCCAGCTGGTCCAGAACGCGGCCACGCGGGGGATTATGGGGGCGACGAGGCGCTCCCATGTGACACCTCTCCTGCGCGAGCTGCACTGGCTCCCGGTGGTCTTCCGGGTGCGCTTCAAGGTGTTGGTGACCACCTTTAAAGCGCTCCATGGCTTAGGGCCGGGGTACTTACGAGACCGCCTACTGCCACCAATAGCCTCCCACCGGCCAGTACGCTCGCACAGAGTGGGCCTCCTCAGGGTGCCGTCCACCAGACAATGTCGGCTGGCGACCCCCAGGGGGAGAGCCTTCTCTGTGATGGCGCCCACCCTCTGGAATAACCTTCCCCCAGAGTTACGTATAATAACAGACCTCCGGATTTTTCGTCGGGCCCTGAAAACTTATTTATTTCAACTAGCTGGGCTGGCTTGAGCTAAATTTTAAATTGATTTTAAATTGGGTTGTTTTAATTTACGGCCAGAATATTTAATTATTTTAATACTGTTTTTTAAATTTTGTATGCTTTGTTTTTACTTAGGCTGTGCACCGCCCTGAGTCCTATTTGGAGAAGGGCGGTATAGAAATTTAAACAAACAAATAAATAAATAAATAAATTAGACAACCATTTATCTGGGGATTCATCAAGCCTTTCTGAAAATTTGAATCCGATTTTCCTCAGTTGGGACCCTCCAAATATGTGGAAAATATTTACTTGCTGCTAGATCTGGGAATAGTAGTCTCAAGATATCTGGGAGGTTCAAATAATGAATGGATTTTCTTTCTTTTAAGTCACAGTTTGCTCATCATAGTTTGTGATATAAATCAGAATAGCTGGGTAAGAACAAATTAAATCATATAAACTGAATTGGCTGTCTTTGTACCCCAAACTAATATTGTTTACAACCAACGATTAGCTCATACAACACTTCAGGAATAAAACGTTCATCAAATTGAATTGACTTTCTTGTGGGCATTTCATATTTCTTGGAAATAATATGGAACTGATTTGCCAGAGTCTTATTACCCATGCAACCACTTTTTGCTTAGCTTTATACGATTAAGCAAAAAGTGATAATTCTACCTGTTGCAGGTTCACACTGTGTTGTGAAGCACATGCTAACCAGTTACATTTTGTCTGGAATTTTTTTATTGCATCCCCTGAAAGCAGAAAATTAGCTTAAGCTAGTAAACCTATTGTGCAATTATAGCTAGGAAACCCAGAAATGTTAGCAAGCGAAGAGGATACTTCATGGAATACTAAGAACCACCAGAAGACTAATGTCTTCCATGAAAGCTCACCCAGTGATTTTAGGCCAGTTGTTCCTTATTAATCTAATCTTTTAAATGTTCATTTATCTCTTTTCACTTGTAAAATTTTAACTTTGTTTTTTGTTTTTAAGTATGCATTTGTTTTATATTGTTTTATTATGTTGCTTGTAAACTACCAATAGTTACTTATGTGAGATAGGTGATGCAAAAAATTGATAAGAGAGATTAAATATAATAGATATAATAAACAATCTCCTTTTATAGGGTGATTATTCTGGGAGAAAAAAAATAGGTCTCCTATTACTTTTAGACATTCCAATTAAAATGGTAATCCCCAAGTGAATCACATTACAATGTCAATAAGCATGTTGCGGATGAGAATCTACTTTTTTTAAAAAAACATCACAACGGATGCATAATATGCCGCCCCAGTGGTGTGTACTGTATATAGATAGGCAAGGGCTGGGCCAGTGATTTTCAAACTTGGAAAATTTTAAGATCTGTGGACTTCAACACCCACAATTCACCAGACAACTCCACACATCTGAAAAGTTGCCAAGTTTGAAAAAAAAAAAAACCAATAACAGTGGGCTGACCCAAGAGAGTGAGACCGTGTTGAGCAACAATCTAAATAATCAAACTAAACTCGCATAAATGCACAGGGAAAAGAGGGAGGAAACTGAGCCAGGTCAAAATGCTTATCTGTCCCAGTTAGAGGGAATTTCTCAGTGTCGGGCTCTCCCTTCTAAAACCTTGGTAGCCCCCGCCTCCCCTTTCCCTCGCGAATGGTTCGCTCCGAGCCCGTCAAGCCCCGCCTCCCTCAGAACCCGGAAGAGCGTATCCGAAGGAAGGGCAAGGGGGTGGCGGGGTGGGCGGGGCGGGATTCGGCCGTGGTTGTCCCTCAGCAACTGCGAGGCGGGCTCAGAGAGGGAGGGAGGGAGGGAGGGAGGGAAGGAGATGCCTGGAGACGCCCCCGTCCGCGCCCTACCTTCATTCCCGCCCTCCGACAGCGCCTCAGCGGCGGCAGCTCCACGGGCAGGGGCCACAACCGCGCGGAGAGCATGAGCGGCGCAGGGGCTGAGCCTCCCGCGGCCCCTGGGGTCAGCCCGGAGGTCGATACTGAGCCGCCTCCGTCTCCACCGTCGATGCTCAGCGTCGATGTGCCGGGGCTGCTGTCTCAGTTCGCGCGGAGTTTCGCGCTGGTTTTCCCCATCTACCTGCTGGGTTATCTCGGGCTGAGCTTCAGCTGGGTCCTGGTCGCCTTGTTATGTCTCTTCTGGGTGCAGCGGCACCGAGGCGGAAAGAGCTCCCGCCTGGGCCGGGCTCTCGCCTTCCTGCAAGACGAGGAGCGGGCGGTGCGGCTCACCGTCTCCACGGGAGACCTTCCCGCCTGGGTGAGTGAAGGGGGTGGGTGGGTGGATGGGTGGGTTGACTGTCTCGCTCTCTCCGGCTTGTCTGTGGGGAGTTAGCGCTTCCTCGCTCGCCTTGTGGGTGATGGCTTCCCGGAGAGAAAGTGGGATTTGGGCTCGAGGGGACCCCTTGGGGGTCTTGTGCTCCTTTAGTCCTTTGGGTGGGTGGGATGGTTGGGTGGTCGGTCTTCAGCAACGGTTGGGCCGAGCCACAGAAAAAAAAAAGCCAGCCTACTTTGAGCCTCCGCTCGTCAGGACGCAGAAAGTTGGGCGAATTGGCTAAAACATGGTTAAAACAACAGCAACAAGAGCTTCCCCCCCCGTGGAAACCACGCTTTTCCTGGCTTTAACCAGGCGGGTGGGTGGGTGGTCAATTGCAAAAGGGTGAGAGTTGCCTTCCCCCCTCCCCTCCCTTCTTGAATTCCTGAACGTGCTTTGGAATTTATTTCCTGGGGTTGAAAATTATGGCAGTCAACGTGTCTGGAGGGGTTTTGGAAATTTAGGAAAGGCTGATTAACTCCAATCAGCCTCATCTGGGTACAGATCCACCTCCGGGCCTTTCTGGAAATGAATCTGCCTCTTGGGAAAAAGCCTTGGCTGTCATCAACTGTTTCAACCCCTTGTGGAGAGGTCGGATGAGTGGGTCCTAAGTTTTCTGGAGAAATAACTCGGTGCTGGCTGGGGTTGCATTATTTCATATAGGTGTAAGAGGAAATGGATCAGTAGTGGGTTGCGCCCCCCCCCGATTCGCACCGGTTCTATAGAACCGGTAGTAAAACCGGCGGGAGGCTCCGTACACCGACCCCGACATCACGAAAACGCTTCTGTGCATGCGCAGAAGAGCGCCTGTGCGCGAGCGGCCCTACTGCAAACCGGTAGTAAAGGTAAGTAGAACCCACCCCTGAAATGAATGGATGTATTCTTTTTCTCTTATGTCCGCAAAACAATCATTAGGTGATTGAAATGGTGCAGGGGCCTGACCCACTACAATATATTTGGTTTTCAATATATTTAGAAATGAGGATCATACCATGCTTTTGGCAGTATTTATTTCCTTCCTCATAAATAACTTTCCTCTGGTTGTCTTTTTGTTTTCAGGTCAAATGCAACATATTATTTCTTTTGAGTCTCTTGTTAAGAGCACTAAGGCACTCTTGAACTATTGCTTCATGTGTGTCATAGGATGTAAAATTTGTCTTGGGGAGATTTGTCTACACTGTACAGTATACAGTTGTAAGCCACCCAGAATCAGCTGGCTGGGATGGGCTATAGACATTGAATAAATAAATGCATAAATAATGTGTAAACTTTGTCCTGTTAGCCAACCACGCCAAACGGATGTTGCCTCTGAAGTTGTGGAAAAAGGAAATTGGAATTATTTTTAAATGCAGCACATACTTTGGATAACACCTGTTTGATCTTAGCTACCTGGCTGTTTATCTGCACATTAGCATGAACTTCATAAGTTTTCTGAATAACTGTTTTTATTCCAGACTCTTCCTTTCCCTCTTTTTTTAGTAGCTGCATGAAATGTGAGTAATTAGTGGGTGTGTCTTCCCTAACAGTCACTAGGAACGTTATTGTGTAAGAAAAAATCCAAGAACTCCTTTCACTTTTTTTAATATTAAAAGATTATAAAAGATTAATACAACTTAAATATGACACATAAGTTTGTTCATGCTATCTCTCAATAAATTTTTGGGAATTGTTTACAGTTGGGACACCTTGCTATTTTTTTGAAAAAAATGTTCAGTCATAGTGAACTAATGAAATTCTCAAACTGTAGCCCCATGAAATGAAATTCTAATGTTCAGAGCAACTGCTTTCTCTCTGAAACATATCTTGTCAAGAAAAGAGATGAAGAAGATAGTGTCAAATGTGATAAGGAGCAGAAGATTATCTCTGTAAAGGAGTGCGTAGCTGGCTTTGTATAGATATTCATGTTTTATATTTTACAGCGGGTGTCACTCGCATTGTCACATCATGTGACGTATCATAACTCCCCCCCTTCATTAAAACGGGTGAGCGTGGCCAGCATGTGACGCATCTGGCCTGCAGGCCACGAGTTTGAGATCCCTGTTTTACAGAGTATACAGAGTGTATAAAGAGAGGAAAATAATATTTGGTAAGCAGTTCTGGTTGAGAACAGTATATATCATATCCCTCCATAAGAGGTCCTTGTGTCAATTCAGAATTGGTTCCAGACCTGTCTGATTGGATGAGGTTGTTTTGAGAGCTGAGTCATTTTTTTGCTCTCATTGTGTCAATTTATTTGGAAGTGGAACAAAGCTAGTCTTCTTTTTCCTCAGTAGTAAAATTTTATGAGTGATTCATGTTCTCTTTGATCTGAGGTCTGGACTGTACCTATACCTTACAAAAAGCTTTCTAAGAAAAATCAAATATAAAAAATAGATTTTATTATTTATTTATTAAACTTGTATACTAGCTATCTTGCCAGATGGCTTACAGTCGATTAAAATTAAAATATTAAAACGATAAATAAGGATAATACATTTAAAATTCATTTAAAATAAAACTAAACAGGATGGCAAGGGCAGGGAGCAAAGGGTACATAGGAAGGAAGTAGGATGTTATTTACAAATTTTCATCGATTTGCAACCATAATTGAGCCCAAAATTTCTGTTGCTAAGTGAGACATTTTTAAGTGCATTTTGTCCCATTTTACAACCTTTGTTGCCGTAGTTAAGTGTATCTGGCTTTCCCATTGACTTTGCTTGTTAGAAGTTTGCCAAAGGTGATCAAGTGATCCCAGAAGACTGAAACCGTCATAAATATGAACCAGTTGCTAACAAGCATCCGAATTTTGATCATGTGATCATGAGGATGCTGCACTGGTTGTAGGTGGGAAAAACAGTTGTAAGTCACTTTTTTCAGCATCGTTTTAATTTCAAACGGTCACTAAATTAACGGAATGAATAAGTCAAGGACTACCTGTATTCCATTAACTACTTCTAAAGCGCCACATTCCCATTGGGGCCCTAGGCTAGTTGGTGCAGCCATGCCTTCAAGGCCTTTTGGAAGACCAAAAGGGGGAGAACATATCTCGTTCACAAGTGTGACCAATGCTGTTTCTGTCCCATAACTGGCCCTGGAATCTGGCTAAAAAAGGAAGATGGGAGACTATGGAAATAGTCCAGACAGCTGGGGTAAAGAGATTTTTTTTTTTTTAGGAGGGAGCAAACCAGGTCCTCCTTAAAAGATCTTGAAAATGTCTCATCCTGCAGTGAAGAATTTATCATTGCTTAAACCAGGTGTCAGCAACTTGTGGCTCAGGAGCCGCATGTGGCTCTTTGGGACCTCTGCTGTGGCTCCCTGTCGGGTGATCCCACCACTGGCTGGCCCCACCCCTCACCCTCCCTCCCACTCAGTCCTTGCCTGGCCTGGGAAGGTAAGGGCGATGGCGGGGGATGGAGAAGCAGCCATGGCAGAGACAGAAAGATACAAAGGGGGGGGGGGGAGAGAGACATAGCAAGATACAGAGAGAGGGTGGGGAGGGAGGGAGAGAGAGAGATGTCAAAAAGCTTTTGTGGTTCCCTATGTTTTTTAACCGGTTCTCTGCCCTAATGATCGACTGGGTAGGCATGGCTAGGGGGTATGTCATGTGACTAGTGGAAGTGAGTGACGAGTTGGCCACGCCCACCCAGGTTTTATGGCTCCCGGTGTTTTCTTTTCTGTGGGAAATGGGTCCAAATGGCTCCTTTAGTGTTTAAGGTGCAGACCTCTGGACTAGTGGAAGTGAGTGACATCGAGTTGGCCACGCCCACCCAGGTTTTGTGGCTCCCGGTGTTTTCTGTGGGAAATGGGTCTAAATGGCGCCTTCAGTGTTTAAGGTTGCAGACCCCTGGCCTAAACTCACCCAGTTGCCATTGTCCTGAATGCTTTCACCAACCAGGATGGTAAGTACTGAAGACTCTTCCCTTCAACAGGTCCAAAGGACCAAACTATTGCCAGTAATCAGGTAGATGTTTTCCCCAGGCATCTCACACAGACCTGCACCACACCTGGGTTCCAACTTGGGACGAATCTGAGCAACTCTCACCAGGTGTTCCACAACTTCCTTTACATGGCTCTGAAGAGGGATTGAGTGATCCTGAACAGGGCCACCAAGTAACACTCTGTGGACACCATAAAAGAGTAGAGAAATAAAAGTGTTTCACTGCTGTTACTGCCATGAGGTAGGCCTTAATAGTAGCACTAAGCCAAGGGTTTCAAACTCATGTCATGGCAGTGTCACTTGATATATCACAATTTTTGTCCTCTCATTAAAGGTGTAGGCGTGGCCAGCGCGTGATGCATCTGGCCCAAGGGCCATGAGTTTGACACCCCTGCTCTAAACCCTAAGTGGTTGGTTTCATCACTCATTTTCCTCCAGTCTAAACAGTGTCTCAGTCATTTTCAGAACCTGCAGCTTCTCTGTAAACCATGGGGAGTATTGGGAGTGATCGGTCATAAGAGGCTGCAGAGTGTGATCCGGTCGAATGCCTCAGCCGCCTTATGGTTCCAAGACGTGACCATGATTATGTGGCAAAGTCCCTGGGAAATCCCCCAATTTCTCCTGGAACCCATTCAGTTCTACACAAAAGTGCTTTTCAAAAGGTATCTGAATTTTCTTAGGTTTTTTTTTTCTTGAAAAAGTTTCTCTTCTTATCCAAGAAGCTTCTTCAGTTCTTCTTGGATGAGAAATGAAATGTTTTGATGGGAACCTCCCCCCTCTCCCCCCAAAAAAGTGCAGTTGCCTTTTGAAAAGCATTTTTGGGACAACCATGAGCAGGATGATTGATAATCTCCATAGACATTCAAGTCCATCAATCGTCGGGAACAGACTGCTTGAATGGGCCTGTGATTTTAATAACCTCTAAGAGGAAGCTGTTACGGCTTAAAAACCTTAAATGCAGGCAAAAGTGTTATAGCTGGCTGGGCTTTCTTGAAAAGGAAATTAAGGATAGTGAATCTCAAATGTATCA